TATGAGAAACAGGATGCCAGTTTAAGTGAACTTTTGAACTCACCCATTCCAAAGCTACTCTGGTTGATATTGTAGAAAAGGTCAGCTTAAACTTTTTTGTTGTTGGTTTTGGTTTTGAAAATTCACTTAATATTTAAAATCAATTTATGAAAAAAACCACTAAATTAAATGCCATGTTTAATTAAATGTATCATGTTATTAAATTGAGAAATTGTACAAAATATAATTCTGAATGCAACTTTCATCGTGTTTTGGATTATTTTTTTTTTCTAGCTTTTGCTTATACTTCCAACAGATGTATGTGGAGGAATGGAACAAATTATTTTTCAAAACTAGTCAAAATCTATTTGCCAATCAGTTGAAACTAAAAATTTGCTCTGATTTTTAAAAATCTGTTTAGTTGCTTGTTTGGTTTATTTTTTGTTTAAAATTGATATGATCCCCCAAGCCCTGGAATTATGGCTTAGATTCAGAAATTTTAAGCAGAAGCATTACTTTAATCCTATGAAAGATATTTTTTCAAAACGGGATAATGCAGACACGGAACAGCATGAAATTTTTCTCTATTTAAGCCTCAGATGAGTAGAATGAAGTAACTTAGTTGTGCAGGTTCAAAACAGTCTGTTCTATTAATCATTGTTTCATCCATCAAACATGCCAGATACAAACATAAGGCAGCCAGTCATCACTTTACAACTATGAAATAGTGGTATTTTTTAATCATAGGTGGGAAACCCACAGCAAATAGCATCAAATCCTTTTCATTAATCTACTATTTGCATGAACAAGGATTTTTCACAGCATATTTCCAAGATTTAACAAGAATTTAAGCCTTAAGGTAAACATTTCTAAAATGGTTTCTCATCAAGCCAAAAAATAGTAACTTTGAGTTGGTGCTCTTTCCTTATATTTGTATACTGTTTACAACGTTTGCAGCCTCACTGAGACAAAGATAGTAAAATAATGAATTCTGAGATGAAACATATGGTCTTTTGAAAATTATGACTTGCAAGTTTAGTGAAGCATTAGTAATCTAAGAACATCCATCTGTCTTTGATTCATTTCCTCAGAAGACAGAAAATCCTTAAAGCCTTAAGCACTATAAACTTCTTAAGTTCTGTCTCTTATGCTTGTTTCACTGGATTTACATAACAAAGTTAATAAATGTAAAAAATTAAAGGTAATTTTCACACCTCATCATCAAGGTCCAAATAACTGAATTCTCCTCTTGCATGAAAACGGTGAGTATGTTTATCCACAGTAAAGTTTACTTGATTGTTAAAGTATTCGATGATAACAGAATGCCAGTGTTGATCATCCAAAAGGCTGCCCAGTGTAATATTAATGTGGGCATTAGAAGGATGAGTTTTAGTGTCACCTTGAGCAAAGCGAAAAACAAAAATTCCATATAAAAATACATTTATTGACATATGTACTGCTAGTTTACAATATTTTGTATATTAAAATCCACTTAACAAATCAATTTTAGTGAAATCTGATAACTATATAAGACTTTATGAGACTTTAACTTTTACCTAAATTAATGAGTAGGGACAGCTTCCCTTTAATTAATTCCAGTGTGATGTGGTGTCCATTTTGCCCTTTTCTGTGGAGAAGAATTCCATCACTTTGCATTGTCTTAAACTTCAGAGAAATCACATCTTTCAGTTCACTCATGAGTTTTTGATTAAATGTGTAAATTAGACAGCTCTTCCCATCAAAACCAACCACCTCAGACCCTAGAAATAAAACAATGAAAGACAATGTATAATGCTATATGTGTTACTTCAGTATGGTATCAAGTCCCACCACTAGCATTACCAGATTCACCTATATTCATAAAGTGTAGCTTATTTCTGCTATTGTTGTTCTTCCACAAATGTTAAGACTATACTGTGTTAATGACAATGCTGTCACTAGATAATGAAGCAAGGTGAGCAGAAGAGCTCTGGCTTTTATTCCCATCTAATACTTATCTCACATGCTGAATGTTGTTCCTTGCCTTGGAGCCATGAAATATTTTGACCATTTCTGGTTTTACTGTATTCTTAGGTTGAAAATCTGTATTAATTTATCTGCAGTTAATTCCAATTACAAAATAAAGAAGAGAAAAAACCATGTCGGTTACATTTAACTGTGTTTCAGAAACTTTGTGCAGGCTATAGATTTAAGCCACTATTAAAATGAATCTGGATATCTATATACTCCTATACAGTATCATGGTATACTATCCTAATAAACAAACAAAAATATTCTAAAATTAAAACTTGCCATCTGTGAGTAAGGCCTGGTTCTCTTCATTAGTTTTGGTTGGTTGTTTTGGTTTTTACTGTAATAATAAACTTTAATCAAGCTGAACTACTGTTTTAGTACTTGAATACAGGATCTGTATATTGCTGGCGCCCACATAGAGGAGAAGCAGAAGGAGATAGTCTGAAGATTGGACAAGACGTAACAGGCTCTCCACAATGTTGTGGATTCAAGTCTCTAGAAAGCAGGTCAGGAAGGCAGATAGGGAGGCCTTCAACACCTGCACTGGGTAGAGCTGGGAACATACTTCAAAGGACATCTTATCAAACAATAGCTGGCATTAGAAGAGTCTTTTTAAAGACCATCTGCTTCTAATATCCCTGCTATGGGTAGGGACCTTTTGTACTAAGGAGGGAACAGAAGGTGAAGGGAGGGAATGGAGAAGGGAAGGTGGAAAGGAAGGGAGAAGGGGAGAGGGGAAAGGAGAAAACTGAACAGATTTTATCTCATTAATAGAAATTATTATCTGTCATAATCAGTACACATTGACAAAGAATACACACAAAGGAGCTGCTTATAAAAAGCTCATAGAGTATTTGCTGTTTATAAGGACAGAAGAAAAAGGTAATTACCCTTGAAAGATACATTTATGAAATAAATGAAGATGCAAAGGACACTCAATAAAATACAAAGTTATTTTTCAACTGACTGGTTCACTTCTTGCAAGTCAACAGAAAACTGTTGTCTATTTACTAATTTTATTTAATTACATTGAAGATATTTCTCCACATTGTTGGCATGGAAACAAATTCAATTCAAATTAGATCTAGTACTTAAAGTCAGTAACTTATGTTTCATTTTTAAAAACACTTGTTAAGCAAATGCAGCTATTTTTTTAAAATAAGGTGCATTGATTTCTGTCACTGTTTGACTCAGGTTCAACAACAATGCTCTCAAATCCCCTCCCTCTCCCACCCAGGTAGGGAAGGAGAGACAGAAAAAGAGAGAGACGTGGCTGGATTGAAAACTAAACTACACAGCTTTAATCAAACACTAATGACATAAGAAAACATATACAATTATATACAAATATGTTCAGATATGTGCAAAAGCCTCTTGCCTCCCCCCACCCGCAGAAACTCCCACAGCATCTCCTTAGCTGCGAACAGTCCCAAAGAATTCCAGACTGCTGCTGGAGAAAGCAGAGAGTGATGAGAGGCAGGGGAGCTCGAGCCTAAGCGGTGGTGGATGGCCGAAGTCCTCCCTGGACACCGGCCATGGACAGAAGAGAAGGCAAGAAGGGAGAAGGAAGGAAGTTGTCTTCTGTGATCTCTGACCTTCCTCTGAGCTTAAGTAGATATATGGAATGGAATATCTCTGGCCAATTTTGCTGTCTGTCTAACTCAGCCTTCGGGGGGGTCATAGATCTGCCTGTAGTGTCTGGGGGGGGGGAAATAAATCAGTAAAAGGACAATTGGCTTCATCCTGGTAGAACCGAGTACAACTTCCTTCACATATTGATAATGTAATTCTCACTTATGAATTATCAAATGCACAATGAATAAATACGACATTCTACCTAAACATGAATACTAGGTTGACTGCTTTACTTCATTATGTCATGGAATGGATGTGGACAGTAAAAGCATGAATCTGCTCTCCAGTCCTTTCCAGTTTTGGCAGAAACAGACCTGAAAAGGTTCACAATGTTCATAACAGTTAGTTAAATCAGGACTCAGGTGTTGCTTTGAATAAAGACTTGGGGGGTGGTATTGCATGTTAAATTTATTTTTAATAAGCCACATGTAAAATCAACTTATTCGTAATTGCCCTTGAAAGTGCATTATCCCAGTTACAAAAAGAATGGGAAGTTCTTTCTATGACTGACATAACTGTGCCATAAATTTTATGCATTTCAGCCAGCAAGGGAATGTTCAAAATCCCTCAGACACATTTAAGTGTTAGAGGACCCTGGAATAAGATTTGCCTAATACAGTATCTGCAGTACTTGTTATGGACTGTTTTAATGTACAGTATGCAGTAAGTTCAGTTATCTTTCTCCCATAATTTTATATGATCATATTTTTCACATTCAAACACATCTTCCTGTTTGTCATGTGAAAAATATTTTTGGGTTTTATTTTTTATTTTTGTGCTTGATTTTTTTGTTGGCTTTTTTTTTTTGTTTTGGTTGGGTTTTTTGTTTTCGTTTGTTTGCTTTGGTTTGATTTGGGGTTTTTTGTTGTTCGTTTGTTTGTTTGGCTGGTTGGTTTTTTACATCCTATGCTTTAAAATGAGAAAGAGAGCACTGTAATAAAGACAGCAAAAGAGTAAGCCAAAGACTCTTCTAATTTCTCTTTTTAGTTTCAGAGGATTGATTAACCTGAATTCTGTTTTATATGGCTTGATTGTCACATCTGACATTACCAGAACAAGACACAGGAAATGTCTGTAGAGATTCATCAGTCTCTTTTGCACACACTAAATAGGAAGAACCATAAGGCAGAAGCTGAGAGAGATTTTGGGGTGGGGGTGGGTTTTGGCAGCACAGAGTGTTGTGCAGTCATGGCACAAGATTTTGTCAGTCCACATGAAGCCGGGTAGTTCACTTCGAGGTAGAAAACATCTTTACTACTTTCTTACATGAAAAATATTGTAGAACAGGAGTAAGACAACTGAGGAACATGGCAGAGGTAGCAGAATGGGGAACAAGAAGAACTAAACACAAAGGACATGGGAGAACTCTTTTAACGTCTCATCTAATGCCATAAATTACTCCCCTTAAGTAGCTTTCTATTCTGTAAGTGTTAAGAGGTAAAAATTGAAGGACTTTTTTTGGATACATGGTTTGCAAACATATAAAATATGATAGCACTTGGTCTAAACTTTTATAGTGAAAAAGGAGTTTTGTGTCAAAAAAGGGAAACAAAATTCGTAATAACCTAGTTTATCCTATGGACATCTATCATGGCGTGGGGAACTTCCCCTACATAAGACTAAACAAAATGCCTTTCAAGCCATCAAAGCAAGAGTGGTGCCTTTTTACTGATTTAAGTCAAGGACGGACTGGAACAGGCCTCTCAATCTACCAGGTAAGTCCATAGCAAGAAAACAACATAAGGGTTATGATAACTGGCAGAAAGATAAACAATAGCTTAAAAGCTGCCTCTGACAGAGTATGTACCTGGCCAGTGCTAATTGGCTAATTTGGACAGTGGTACTTTCTCGAACAGTGATCTCTGATCTATAAAAAGGGGGCAAGATCTGGAGGCCGCCGCTCTCTCTGCCTACCCAGGACAGACCCCGCTGCAGCACCTGAACCAGCCTGGAACGCCCGCCCCGCTGCCCGGAGGAGCCGAGAGGGAAGGAGGGGCTGCCCCGCGCCCGCCCGCTGCCCAGAGAAGCAGAAAGGAGGGGGGCATCGCCTGTGCCCGTTCCACGGCGATCGTGCCCGCTCCCGGGGAGCCTGCCTGGCCAGCCTGGACCAAACCCGCC